AAAAAAAATTAATTGGCCGTTTATAATATCACTTTGTTTTAATGATAGTTGTCATAATTTAGGTTCAGACTTAGATGGTGATGAATATTCAATAATTTGGGATCCGGAACTAATGTTTGAATATAATGAACCACCATTAGATTTTCCAAAAAGTGCATCGGACAATAAAGTCGTTGATGAAGGACAAGTGGTTTGTGTATTTGATTGATATTCGATTAGTCATGAAATAATTCTCATTTTATTAGTTAACGTTTACAGTTTTCATCGAAAATAATGATTTTTATCCATTAAATGAATTTATGACTCCAGAATTGCTGAAAAATTTTTCTTTCAAGGATTTAGAAATGCGAAAGTTCTTTGTTAATTATATCAAACAGGATTCAATTGGTTCCATTTCAAATGCTTTCTTAGTTAATGCTGACCTTTATGGGATCACAAGTGAGGTATAAATTGGTCTGAAATTTGACCTTATTTATCCATATAAATAAATTAAAGAATATAAAAATCGTTTGATTCATGAGATAAATACTTTACAATGTCTTGTTAGCAAAACTGTTTCCTTACTTAGCTATTTTTATTTCCGATCTAACTTTTCTTTATTTTGACAAAATTATTTCGTTGTGATTTGTTTTTAAACCATAAAAATATCTGTATCAAAATGTGATAATTGTGAACAATTTGAATTTTAAAGTTTTAACATGTAACACACAGGTTAGATTAAATTATAAAATGCATACGTCATGGATTCTTTTAAATTATAAAAGCAAAGATGATAGTTTTTCTTATAGGTTTGTATTAATATAGCAAAGAAACATTCAAAAGCTGTTGATTTCCCGAAAACTGGCGATGCACCTGCTCCGTTAACAAAACAGTGGACATTAGGTAAAGATGGAAATATGCTTCCACCAGAAAGAGCCGAACGTTGGCCAGATTTTATGTGTAAAAATCATGAACCGAGTTACATTTCATCGCGTTTAGTTGGACAACTATATAGGTTTGTTTAATAATTATTAATTCTGACAAAACAAACCATGGATTTTCATTATCTTTATGTTTAGCTATTTTAATTACATTTTTAGGTATCGTTTTTAATAAATTGTAGGAATTTCTTAGATTATATATGATTGTTACTTAGAAAACCAAACTTTGTATTATATGGTATTTTGCAGACGTATCAGACTTCTAGATGATGCTTTAAATCTCACAACTGCTGTGGAAGGAACTGTACCGATAATATTGGATCCAGATTTGGAGTATCCTGGTTGGGAACGGTACAAAAATATCGCTCAAACTGAGCTTGACTCCTATCATGCATATATTAGGGTTAGAATTTATGGAAATTATCAATAGAAGGATCTTTTGCAGGTGCTTTTTTATCGTTGAACATGCAAGTTTCATATGTGTTTATAGTTGATGTCATATTTTATGTTTGATTAATTTTAATATCAATAATGGTTGCAGTCAATAATGGAAAATTATGGCATTGAAGATGAAGGACAATTATTTTCCGGTTTTATTAGCGTTATTCGAAATCGAATCAGTGATCGTGATACGGATGACATGTCTTTCTATAATACAAATCATATAATCGAGAAAAAAATTTCGGCTGTTTTCAGAGCGTAGTTTTTTTAAAACTTCAAATTTTTTTTGATTTTTTCTAATTTTTTAAGATCATAAATTTTTTTTTTCAAAATTTACGATCTTAAAGAAATTAGAATGAACCGTTATAACAGTCAGATGATTGGTATTTAACCAATAGGTTCGGAATATTTTGATAAGTAAATTTTCTAAATTTCAATTAGTTTAAGAATCAATTCTAGATATCGACATCGCTTCTTTGATGAATTTGGTGGATTTTTGGAAAATACATTATCCGATCATGAGGATAATCAAAATGGTAATATGCGTGAGCGACGTATTTGTATTTGTCCATCATTGGATATGAAACGAAAAGCATCAGCATATTACATTCTCTGCTATCGTAAATTCTCTGTCTTCTTTTTTTTTATAATTTGTCATGAATTTTGGAATTTTATTCCTTGACTCATTGTTAAATCGAGGAAGTAGTTTTCTTGCAGTATTGATAATCTGAAAAATGTGAAGTGTTATTGATATAACTCCTGGAAATCCCTTTGTCTCACAATAGGATGGTGATAATAATTTATATAATGTCTAAGAGTTATATGATCTAAGAGTTGTGTCACAATTTTACTACTAGATTAATTCAAACCATCGAATGAAAGCATAATCACTAGATGAATCTGAAACAATTTAAACAGTTGACATTTTCAATCTGTTGAGTAGACTTAATTGCTTTATTATTACAGATATTATTTTCATTAACTATAATAAGCATCCTAATAACTACAAGCACTGTTATTAACCATCACAGTAATAATATAAATGTATTGCTATTATCAACTGTAATTATTGTTCTGATAGCAATTGTAATTAGTCTATCATCATTACCAATTCTTCATGTCAATATAATAGGAAGTGCATCGATGGATACATCATATCGGATTTTGTCATTTGGTTGGCTTGCTTGGGATGTTTTATGTCAGGCGAAACAAGAAGTGAGATTAGCACTTGGCAACTCAGTTGTGCAATCATTGGATCCATTGAGTGAAAGCGCATCTGAGGTTAGCTTAAGTTTTGCAATTCTCAAATTTAGGCCTTTTTGACTAATTCAAAAATTTCTGATTTTCCTTTATAAAATTGGGATTTTTTTTTTTAAAATTGGAACTTGTAGTTCATCAAGCATTACTGTGTAGCAAATGCGGATGATGTGAAATTGACAATGTCATGCATAATGGAAACAAAACAAGCCGCATGTATTCTTGAACCATACTGCAGCCGTTACAAAGGTATATTTAATATCATAGCATAATTAAGGCTCAAATTAAATTAAATTTAAAGTTACATTTGAAAAAATCTACTTGCTCTTGAAATTTATGAAATAAAATCTGAAATTTTCTACAGAAATCATCATTTTAGGAATTTATAAAGAAAGAGAAAAAAATTACAAATTTTGAAAGAAAATAAAGAAGGCGAAATCTCTTTTTGCTGTTTTATCAATGATGTAAACAAACATGTGCAGGTCTTGAAGATTTATTCTACATTCTCGTTAAATGGGCTACATTTCATGGATTATTAAAGGAACAACTAAATGCTATTCACATTTGCCTTTTATTCATACAATTTGGCCTTGGATACTATGCGGATGATAAAGATATCTTAGAAGTACAATTTTTAGAAGAGGTAAAGTGAATTCTAGCTTTAACAAGATTAGAAATTCTTTGAAATTGCAAAATTTTTCAAAGTGAAAGACTTTTTTCTGAATCTTTATGGCATTTCTTTGTTGTTGAATCTCAACAATTAATAATTGCTATCAATTTTTAGACAGAGGAAATTATTGACAAAAATTCTTATTTGGCATGCGATTTATATAATCTTGTCGGTGGTGTAGGTGTATGCTTGTTAAAATTTTTCAAATTTCTTAGTTCGCGTACTGTGCAAACATTAAAAATGCTCAGTTTTCGTAATATTGGATATCATTCGTTACTGTTACGAGGACAGTGGATAAAGCTGAATGAAGTATAATTTTTATTAATATTTAAAATATATGTGTTGCTCTTCATTTCCTTCGATGTTATCGTGATCACAATACGCATAGTGTTTCTAGCTTTACGGAACACTTCTATCAATTTGTTCTTTTTTTCAGTTTTTATAAATGATAGTTCTTGTTCAAATTTTTGAAATATTGCGTCATACAACATGACATTCTATTTTACATTGTTTATTTTTTGTTTTCAGGCTGCTTTGAAAACTTTTTTTGGTATAGCTTTAATAGGAAAATTTGATCAGGTAACAATGATTGGTATGGGATACGAAAATGATTCAATCAATTGCGAAATTGTAAGTTGGTGTAGTGATTAATTTTTAATTTCTGCAAAAGTAGTTATTGGAGGAAGAAATCATTTTCTAATAAATTCATATTAGATCGCCTAAAATTATATTGTAATATGAAATCCTTTTTTTTTCAGTTCGGAACAATGGAAATTGAACCATTTATGATCGAATTACCTATTGAATCACCAAAGCATTTAGACAAATTTCGTGAAAAAGTGTATAAGCATTCTGGTGTGAAATATTTGCATATGAGACAAGTTGCCCATCGAAAAAAAGGTCAGCATACCTAAAATTTGCAATTAATCATTCATATTTAATGAAGCTTTGCTTCATGTATAAGTTTGTATGGATTACTTTTAATTAGCATTTTTTATTAACCATTTACAGGAAATGACGATATCATTAATTGAATCCCATTGCATTTTTTATCTTTTTAAGTTTAATACGTATAGCTTTAAACACAATGTTAGATGATAAATGGTAAATTTCCAGATCGTGTTATTGTCTCGGCAGTTGGTACATTGGAATCATTGCATCGTTTGCGTGATTTGCTTTCAGTACGACCATCTGTGAATTCATTTGCAAATTACAAAGAGAATAGTGATATTATTAGTCGGATTGTTGTGGAACGACTCGAAAAATTGGATTAGCTGATTTTAGGATAATTATTAAAATCTATAAAGCAAAGTATTTTTGCATTTTTGCAAGATATTTATCTTCCTTTTCAT